TCAGCGGAATAAAAGTGTCGTTGTACTGAGGGTTCCGTCGGAGGTCCACGTTCAAAGAAAATGACCCCTCATGGTCTTGTCCTTTATTGGAATCCAACAGTTGTTTGAATAGAGAGAATTGCCAAATAGTGAACCGGGTTGGGCGACAATCAATCAGGGTTAAAAATGATATAAATGGGTTATGTCTTTTCCAACACTTTGCCACACCTTGCTTTGCTGAAACTTTTCCTTTTTGCCATTGCAACAGGTGCCTGGTCGATGGAGTCCCAAAATAATTTCTGACCATGCCCTGACAGCAGCTTTGGATACGGAGGGATAAATTTAATTAATTTAATATTAGGTTATTTTATATTAGGATGTCCGCTTTGGCAATGCACAGATTTAAACTACATCTGAGTTATAGTTGCTCGCTGATTTATAGACATTTCTACCGGCTCTACCTCTTTCTTAAAGCGTCAACCATTTTTTGGGAACCCTTGTTAATCAATTTTGTTCTCTGTGATCTGACCAGCTTTCAACTGGATTGATCATCACTTTTTTGAGTGTCTTATCTTCCTTCGAATGAATCTGATCATTTTTTGTACGTATCCTCTTGGTGTAAAGAGTGTCTGATATCCCTTCATCCATGCGGAATCCGTGAATATTTTCAATACCTTTGCATTCCATTGAAGGGCCGCGATAATTCTAATAACGGGAAAAATTTTGATGTTTTGATAGGGTTGCGTATCCTTCTCGGGACACAACCAACATGCATCTTCCACGACAGTGTCACCTACTTCAAGAGACACTCCTGTTGCAAGGGAGCTCGCGTCAACCCAGACGTTAAATTCACATCCGTCAACGCACCATTTACCACGTACGGGGTCGTCTTGACGCACCCTAGTAATGACTTCCGCTATCATGTGTCTAAGGGGAACATCATTGATTGTGTCATCCCAGCCGGAAGTGACAGCAGTCACCCTATGTTTAATAAATGCAGTTGCAATGCGGATCCACCCGCCCACGGGAAAATGTCCCACCAGCTTTCCACATAACGAAAAACACGCTGCGTCGGGTGATGTTTTTGGGAATGTCCGGAACTCGCTTCCACGTTTCCAGTACAGCATGTTGTGCTCCCCCAGACCTGCAAGCCGAGCACCCGAGCACCATCCTCCAGTCTTTCTGGGTTTTTACATTCGAGCCCAAAGTCAGCAAGATGCTTTCTCACCTGTGAAGCGGGTACTAAGGTTTCGTTGATGTAGATGTGTGTCAATGTAGGCTGACGTCGCTTGACGAATTGTCTCATCCTGGGATAGCACAGCATCCACGATGGCTTTCATGATGGCCGGCGCCACATTGAGTCCGAATCCCATTCGGGTTAAGCAGTACCTCGTCCCATTAAGGATCACCGTCTGAAATGGCCACAGTGACCGGTGCACGCGTACCTGCAAGTAGGCCTTTCGAAGGTCAATCACAGAGACATTGGATCCCTTCGTTCGCCATTCTCTCAACTTTTTGTGCACACACATCAGCATGAGCTGTGTATGTGTCTACATGTTCGTTCAGTTCTCTATAATCTAGTACAGGGCGCACCTTTCCATTGTTCTTTTGTACCACGTCCATCAACGGGATGAGGCCTCTTGGAGGACCAAGCTCTTCCTCGGGATACGGAGTCAGCCATCCGTTATCCAGCCACACCTGCAATTCGCGCTGGTATTCTTCCTTGACGCGTTCGGGCACCGAATATTCTGACACTCGGTTCTGGAGCTTTTCTGGTGGGTTATTTTCCGACCATTTCCAAAATGCTGTCCATGTCTTCGTCCTTTAGTCGAACTCTGCGCTAAAGTCGGGTTCGTTGATCTTCAAAGTAGCACAGATGGGCGGATCAGAAAACTTGACTTCGCCTGCCTCTGTAATGCGTACGCCGCCCAGCTCATAAGGAGCAGATCGAAACCTAATAACGCGCTGTCCATGACCAACACACTGACTGTGACAGGGTCACCGTTATTAATACTCGAGTTTGATGTTTCCAACTCCCCAGCTTCGAGCCTTTCCATCAGCCGTTAGTACGTCCATCTTTTTGTCTGCTCCACTGTCGGCAAATCAAACCGTTGGTGAGTGACCGAGCAGCCGAATCTATTAACGATGCACGCTTTATTCCATTGATGTGTACCTTTAATCACAGTGGCGCCACTTTCATGCTGGTGCGGGGAAGAGACCGGCGCTGATGTCGGGTCCCCATTCCATTTCCGGCACTTAGAGGCAATATGACCTACTTTCTGACATTGAAGCATCGTAGATCGAGACGCGGGCGTGCCTTTTCGCGCCGACCTGCTGCGCATTTCTTTGTGTTGATAGCGGCAGTCTCTGGCAAAATGATTCGCCCAGAGCACCGGTAGCAGGTGGCAACGCCATGGTGATGAATGGCTGAGGTCGGACCTTCTTTGACTTCAATTGGTTGAATAACTGCGCCACTGGTTCATCAGCCTCTTTCTCGTCGATCATGACAGCACGGGCTCTGGTCAACAATTGATTGAGCGTCAGGTCTTCCATTCTGGATGATGCGCGAGTATCTGCTTAACATGACTGGGCAATCCAGAAACGAAGGCACATGTCATCCATTCTTCAGGAAGCGTGCGATTGAACGAGCTTCTTTAATTCTGCCAAATATCGTCTACTGTCTCGCCAGGTCGCAGAACGCCGCGCCTGGAATTGGTCGTAGGCCACGAACCGGTCCAGTTCAAATGCGGTTAGTAGAGCGTGCTTTATTTGCTCAATGTCACTTTTCTATTCTTTACTCAGCTGCCTATACACAGCAAGGGGCACCGCCATTCAATCGCAGAGGAAGAATCCGATCAATCTTCGTGATCTCGCATAATTCGCAGACCAGTTCCACCTTTTCGATCCACTCAACCACAGACTGAATTCGGGGATCAGTTTTATATCGAACAGTCTTTCCGCCATCTTGCGAGAGACAAAGTAAACACCGAAATAGCTTGAAGTGTAAGCGTTCTCAAAGCAAATTTGTGGCTTTCACAACACAACGAAAGAAAATCACTTGTAAACACGTCAGGAAAATAACTCAAAACGACGCCGTAGCCAAAACTGCCCAAATTTTTTCCTGCCCAGTCGACAACACCAACTGCTTTTATCGGCAGAACCTATTTTTTCCATTCGTCGACAGCCGGGATAAGATGCTCCGTAATTTGCATATTAATATCCTCTTATAGCGACTCCCTCGACGGACTTGTTATTTTTTTCATCCCAGAATACACGCGACGACTGTCGCTTGGGTTGACGAGGTAAGTCGCTATAAGAGTTTTGCTGACTACTTTTTGGCAATCCCTCCCCGGCAGATCACACACAAAACACAAACTTTTTTCTGGGGTACTTGATTATCTCGTTCACTACAGTTTTATATAAAGTTTCCTATAAAAGAGGAGTGTTAACTTGATTCTACACTGAACTATTTTGGCTGGTACTCTTGGCCAGGTAATTCACCTATGCAATCAATGCCAGCATGTTTGTCACATAAGTGCACAGTGCCCAGCCCAGGGATTGAACTCACAATTACTATGTCACCAAATTCACAAACCAATGCAATCAAAAATCAAGGATGTGCATGAAATTAAGACACAATAGTTATACATTTCTTATGAGCAGTATTCAAAGAGAAAATGGACGCTTGGTATATAAAATTTAAAAAAATGTAATCTGCTGCTTACCTTCAACACTTGAAAGAAAAATACACTTTAAATTTTAAAACCAGACATAGGAATAACTGAGTACTAAAATTGAATTAGATGAGATATTCCTAGATATGGGCAGTGGAACAAGAACAATCTACCACTCCCGCAGAAATAAAACTAAAAGGTTCAGTTTGAAATTAGGTTATCTAGTTCGACATACATATGAGGATGAGGGCAAGAGAGCACAATGACCAGAACATTGTGGAGACAAAAAGATGAGGTCAATAGTCAGTATCGCAAGTGTGTAGCTACCGCCGTTTTTTTTTTTAATTATAAAACGTCAGAAAATTATACTATGGAATTTTTACACAGGCTACACTGCGTAAAAACGTTATTTTCATTATGTTTTAAAGGCAACAATAATTTAAAAATCCAATTAATTCTTAAATTTACTAATTTACTTTGAAACATATCTCTGGATAAATATTGGATTTAAATTTTTTTTGTTTACATTTTTTTTCTAATAGCAGTTCGATGAGTGTGTCGAGTGGTGTTAGATTTTTTTTTAAATATCTAACTAAAAAGTTTGTTTTTAGGCTATCTTTCAAAACCAACGTTTTTCTAAAAAAAGAGCCTCTTTTTAGAAAAATGTTTTGTTTTTTTTTATATGTGATGCCATGCTTATCCGTATAAATAGAAAAATAAATTTTGTACCTTAAACTTTTTAGTTATAGATTTTTAATTTTAGGGGACTTTTTTTAAAATTATCAATAAATGAAAAAAATGCATTTTTAAAGTTTTTAAATTAAATTTTGGTGGTAACTGGTACATGTCACCTGAGGTTTCTTCAAAAATACAAGGAGTGAATTTGGACCCTGGTCTCATGTTATCCCCACTTTAAACATGACCTACAGTCTGTTCAAGTGCGCTTAAGGGAAACACAACGAAACAAATCGAAAATATGAAATTAACTTTAACTTATTTGAGAATTATCTCCCTTTCTTCCTTTATGATAAATGCTTAAATTTATCCGAGAGTTATCTCCCTTTCTCTATAATGAATCTACCTTTTTTTTTCATCATCGTAATTTACTAATTTTAGTTTTTATTTTTAAAATATTTTTTAAATAATAACATCACAAACTCTATACCATTATCAATCAATATTTTCAGTGAAAAAGGATTTACTGAAATGATTTTCTTCAAAAATAGTTACATATAAATAAATAAATAAATAAATAAAAATATATGCAGTTTTGGCGCGAAGTGTTTATGCGAAAGCATGGGTAGTATCTTATACGTATGAATTTCTTCGCCTGTTATCGCAAGAAAAATGGTAAGTTTATTCCACTCTAAGATCAGAGATGACATAAAATTTATTAAACTTAGAGTTAGATTTCCTTAATATTAAAAAAATTGTTTTTGGCTGCTTCTAACTTATTGAATTCACGGTAATATTTCGGTTAAACATAATTCAGTCTTTGTTTTTTCCATATTTTTCACGGACTCAGAAATGTCTCTAAAAATTTCTTTTTCATTTCATTCGTGCACTTTCTAAAAATAATTACTCCCTACCAAGAAAAGATTTAATTTTGTTTTTTTTTTAAACATTATTACAAAGAACTCGAGATTATTTTTTAATCTCTCGTCTCTAAACAAACAAAATATTATTAACTAACATCATTTCATTTTTTTTTTGTTATTCATTACTCTATCAATTTCAGTTTGTAATCCTATTTAAATTAGTTATTTCTTAGGTTTGTTACTGAGAAATTTAAAATTGCACAAACAAATGGAAACCGTTTTCGGGGCATTATCTTGCTAAAAAAGATAACATCGTTTTTTTGCTCATTTTTACGAAACACGATGGGGAGTTTTTGTGTCATGTGGTTGGATGCGTAATTTGAATTTATCGAATTATTTGTTATTTTGTGTTTAAACACATTTAAATACAAAACAAGTAATTCATAAAATAGGAGCACCAATTTAACAATTATTATTTCATAATAATTTATGCTTATCAATTTTTCTAAATGCTTGTTTTTAGTGTGGCGTCGAAATCGGCTAAGGACAAGGTAAAAAAAAAAAGTTTGTCTCTTTAAAAGCATAAAAAGAATTAATTAAAGATACAAATTATTCACAATGGCAGATATGATTTTTTTAAAAGTAAGTCCCTGATATATACATAATACTGTACAATGATTTTTTTAAAAATCAATTCCACCAACATACACTCCAAGTTCTAAAAGTGAATGATTTTATTAAAATTTATTAGTGTCGTTACTTCGAAAACTAAGGTGGCGCGCGTGATTAGAAGGGTGAATTAGGACTGTCCCCATATAGAATATAACTCCGAAAAGTAAAACTATTTCAATGCATGATGAAATGATCACGTTGAGTCACATTTTCGTTGTTTTAGTTTAAAACAATTTTTAATCAAATAATTTGATTTTTTTGTCATTTTCTCAGAAAATAACTAGTATAGATAAAATATCGCCAGTATATAGATAAAATATCGCAAACATTTTTTAGAATCTTTGAAGTTTTGGTGAAAACTTTTTTTTTTTTTTTTCCATCAAAGTGGCCCCATAAATACGGGAAATTTGAGCGTCATTGATTTTAGAAATTCTTGCAAAAATGAGATAATTGTTGGATTTTAATGAAATTTTCAGGACTTACGCCCACAAAAATGAGTTAAATCATTTCTGATATATATTTTTTTTTTTTAGAAGGTTTTGGTAAAAAATATATTTTTTGTTTTTCATTTTATGAAATTTCGAGAAATTCCTTTTTGTATCGCGAATGAAATAATGTTTATTCGTATGTATGTGGTGTAATGATGGATATCGACTCAGAATGTGAAATCGATCGAGTTACGCACATCACATCCGATATAAACAAACATCACGTAAAGGGAAGGCACTCAACTGAATGTTTATAGTTAACTTAAGAAGTTAAGAACAGGTCATCAGAATAAAACCTTTTTAGATTATCTTTCAAACTCAAACATGACCCCAGTTACTGAAAATCTGCTTTGAATCGTAAAATAAAACTCGCAATAAAATTAAAAACTTTTTTTTTAAATTAGAAAAGAATTGCTTTTCTTTTATGAATAAAAAATATATTTGTCTACTACTGTATTGTCTGAAACACATTTTTTGATGGATAATGAAATTCTACTACAATTGTTTCTATATACCACCACGGTTTTTCTAAAAAAAAAAACTAGAATCGCATTTTCTAATTTTCTTCTTTGAACATAAAATTCGTTTTTTTTATATTATTATTTGAAAGTTAATTTGAATGAAAAGAATCAATTTCTGCATATAAATAAACCTTTTTTAGGCATTTAAAAATAAAATGTTTGCACATTTTCTCGTCACTCCTCGAGCCGCCATTATAAACAAATTAAAAAAAAAAATATTTGTCCTAGATGTTTCGAAGTCATTTAGTAATTCTAAAGATTAATAATTAACTGGGATTTTCTGAAAGTAATGTTTAGTTTTTACTAAAAACCTAATGAAATTAACATTTATTTACGCATGGTTGCCTGTGAGGTCAAAGGTGAAACAACAAAAAATGTACATGGACCTCCGCTAACTCGCGATACTCAAGGTTTAAAATGAGTTTTAAAAATGAAAAAGCTTTCTTGAAGCTTTAATTTTACCTTGAACTAAAGGATTACTATTTCCAGGAAGCAAAATACTTTAGTGTATTTCAAACAAATTATATTGATTGGAGTTGATTCATTTTTTTCATTTTTATTTTTTATTTTGCTAAAAATGGCTGATTAGCGTCCTTTAGTTCTGTCATCGTAATGTAATTTTCTTTATTAAAAAATCTTCCAGATAAAGTACTTTCCTGAAACTTTATTTGAGGAATATTAGCTGATTTAAAGTGTAATTAATCTGATTTGAAACAAATATTACTTTAGTTGAAAATAACAGAAATGGATTTTTAAAACAAACAGTAGCGGTGATTTAAAAAGTTTCACTTAACAAGTAATAAGGATGTTGACATGTTTATGTTGTTCTGTGGAGACTAAGACATACTTTAAGAAAATGACTGAACACCGTTTTATATAATTTTTAAGAAGTAATCTTAAAAATGTTGGAAATATTTTCCATAATCTAATTTTAGGAAATTTTAGGACTTTAAATTTATAGTCATCTTATTTTCTGATCATGTTATATCAAAATGAGCGTGTTTCACATAGAAAAAAAATCATTTTAAAAATCTTAGTGCATGATGATTTGTGTTAAGCTTCTCAATTTTCGCTTAGTAAATATAGTCTTCCTTCATTTAATAGCCTAACACGATCAAAGTTTTGAAGATTTTTGAAACTTTATAAATTATTATAATAAAAATAAAATGAAAACAATTCTTTCAAAGACTCATCAAAAAAAAATTTCCTTCACCCTATAAATGTCCTTAATTATAAAAGCAATTAAAAGCATGTCTAATTCATTAATGTCATAGTTTTATTGCAGTTTTTATATTATTATTCAGAGCAGATTTTCAGAAAAGCTGTAACTTTTTTGAAAAAAAAAAAAATTACATTTTCCAAGGAGTCCTGAGTTTAACTAATAAAACAGTTTGTGATCAGAATATAATTTCATAAAATTAAGGAAGTGGGAGTAACCTGTAAAAAAAAAAAAAAATAAATAAATAAATATATTTACCAAGATTTTTTTAAAAGTAATCATTTCAAAAACGCATTCATTCATTTGTGAATAAGTTCTGAAAGTTTCATTAAAATCTAACAATTATTTGATTTTTTGCAAGAATTCCCAAATTAATGTTATTTTACCAGGAAAAAAGTCACTAAAATTGCCATAGCTCTGTTACTTTGAACATGTTAGAATTTAAAAAAAAAATAATGAAAAAAATATAATTAAAAAATACCTCTGAATAATATGAACATTTTGATGATAAAACTTTGTTTTTATTTAGTTTTTCTTCATGCTATGCAGTTTTTTGGCACAAAAGTGGGGGTATCTACATTTAAAAAAAATTTTTTTTATATATACACCAAGGAAAGTGGTAATGATACTAGTACGCAGAGGATTACAGGGAGTGAAAGTAAAAGGACAAAAAGGAACAAGGTTCAAGACAAGATGGTAATTCATATTGCATTTAAATTTTTGAAGATTGTAATTATCAGGGAAGCAAGAAAACGGAAGGAAATTCCACAGGTGGGAAGTGTAAGAAAAGAAACTGTTAAAGTAGAATTTACGTTTACATTTAGCTATTTCAACAGTAGGACCTAGTTACCAATCTAGTAGCATGCTTAACTTCATATAGTTGGGGCACTGGGGAAAAAATCTCTTCAGAGTAGTTGCCATGAAATTATTTGTAGAAAAGACTGAGAAGCCATGTCACATTGATAAGAAAATGACTGAAGTTGAGATGCCTGGTCAGTATCAATTTCATTACAGAGCCTTCTTTGGATTTTGTTCAACATTATTTTTATTTACATCATAAAATAACACCATGATTTGAATGAAATTGTTTGTCACTTAGCTGATAAAAGTTATCTTCAGCATCCAGACTCATAGGACCTGTCCAGCCTCTCTTTAGTGGGTATCAGCAATTGACTAGTTATATATCTCAATTTTTCTTTTTTATGCACTTATTGCTGTAAGTTTTTTTTCTGTATTGTTTGTGTTTGCATATATGCAGCCATTCACTCATCTGTGCACATATAATGTATTTTGGTTATTTGTCCTTTTCTTTTTTTTTTTTTTTGTTCCCCCCTCCATTTTACTCTTTTTTTTTTTTTTTTTTTTTTTTTTTTTTCCTCTTTTCTTTCAGTTGTAGCTATTTATTTTTTTTCTCAAGATGTTATCATTTTTAATTTTTAAGTGTTCTAGTATTTTCTTGGGCTAGGAAAGTTGTATTTCATTTTTTTGTATAAATAATTGATATTAATGATAAATATTTTTATGTCTTGGCTGTTATTTTGTTATTTAATTTGGTGTTATCTTAATGTAGGAGGTTAGGTTTATAATTAAATTTTATTTGAATTTATATGCATGTTCCTGTATTTACACACGCACATTCATGCATGTACATATATAGGTATACACACATGCACATATAAATAAATGTGTGTACACATGCACATTTGTGTCTTGTGCTTTGTTATTAATAAACTAGTGCTTAATTAGTAAAGTTATTTTATTTCTACTGTCATGGTATCAATTATAGTTGGTTGGGTCTATAGAGTGTTTTCTTTGCTGTTAGAATATGTATATAGAGTATATACACCCATATACTCATATTGCATACATGCACATGTATGTAATTTTTAAATAGTGTATATGCAGTAGTAAA